GAGTTGAAGTCCACTTCTCTTAAAGTGGGTTTAATTCCCCATCCTGGCTGGGGAATTCTGGGAGTTGAAGTCGTCCCCCCCTTTAATGTGGGTTTAATTCCCCATCCTGGCTGGGGAATTCTGAGAGTTGAAGTCATATCCCCCCCTTTAAAGTGGGTTTAATTCCCCATCCTGGCTGGGGGATTCTGGGAGTTGAAGTCGTGTCCCCCCCTTTAATGTGGGTTTAATTCCCCATCCTGGCTGGGGAATTCTGAGAGTTGAAGTCATGTCCCCCCCTTTAAAGTGGGTTTAATTCCCCATCCTGGCTGGGGGATTCTGGGAGTTGAAGTCGTCCCCCCCTTTAAAGTGGGTTTAATTCCCCATCCTGGCTGGGGGATCCTGGGAGTTGAAGTTCACCCATCTTAATATTATCCTGGCTGAGAACCCCCAGCCTGGAGGACTGTGCAGGAGCCACAAGGACAACCTTCGGGAAGGAGCCAGACGCAAACCCCCCCCCATTTCTCTTTTTAAACCCTGCTCCCAAAATAGACTTAGGGGACGATGGGACGGGGGGGGGAGGCGGGGGGGGGGAGGGGAAGAGCTGGCAGAGAGCCAGGAGCACATCTGGAGCTGATCGGAAGAGGTCAGGTGATCAAAGATTTAATGAGGCTGCCATCAAATTTTATTAAGGCTCAGATGTGGGGTTGGGGGACACATACGCACCCCTTCCGTACACGAGAAAGGCTGTAAGCCACCCCCGCCATGTTGGCTCGCTCCTGTCCCAAAAGACCATTTTAAAGGCACCTGGTAAACCCATTTGAGATTTTTTACCTCCCAAAGGAAGCCCGCCGTTGGCCGGCTTCCATGAGGACTAGAACCTTAGCTGTGGTTTTTTTGGGGGGTGGGGGGAATGCCCTCTAGCTCCAACTGCTGAAGGGGCAGTTCTCTCATCTTGCAACCTGTTGTTTGGTGAGTGTCCCAACTTACAACGGCATGGAGGGCGGGGGGAAAAAGAGAGGCAGGAAACTGGTCCTTGCACTTCCAACCGTGGCAGCCTCCCCGCAGCCCTTGGGGTCAGTTATAAGTCAAGGACCCAAGCAACCCAAGACTTCTGTCAATCCCGAAGCTGACCTGACCGGAGCCATTTTGAGGCTTCCGTGTGGCCACACTGGAGCTGAGGGTGAGGGAGGAGGGGAATAGAGATAGCTGGGGTTTTGTAGCCAAAACAGAATACTTTCTCCTGGGAACCAAGGACATTCCCACTGGTGGGAGGAAAGAGGCGG